GGAGAACAATTAGTGTAGTAACCAGAATCCCATCAAGATCAGGGCCTTTTTGGTTTGGGAGCCCCTGCTCCATTCTCTACTAAATATAAACACTATCCAAGCAGGACTGTTTGGTCCTTTTGAGATATCCCAGTGTACTGCATCAAACTTCATTCAGCAAAGTATAGCTCATACAGATTTTAGTGCTCATTGTTAAATTCCAAGAACAAGGTAAAGGAAAACCTGGTTTAAGATAAATGTGACAAACAAAATAAGCGGCTGTGAGGTCACATAGGTACAAGGAATTCTGAACAGCAGTCAGAGAGAAAGCATCGTGATGCACAAGGTTTAAGAGAAGGAAAGATGCCCCCTCTGCTCGCTCAAGGATACTCACCGGCTTGACATTCCTCCAATTCTGTTGCTCAAGTGTCCCTCGTTTTGAGGGACATCACTTTAGTCCCAAAGTTCCACATACATCTGGTATCTCCTCACTGTTACTGCTGAAAATTTACCTCAGAAATGAAGAATATTTCATGATTCGTTTATAAGTCATTTATACCACAGGAAGGAATGCCATGCAACCTATTGACTGCCCTGCATCAATAGCCAGGGCAACGTTCATTCTGAGTCTCTCACACATTGCATGCTACGTTTGGGCCTTGGCAGGTTGGGAGATGTGGGCGCCATCTTGACACAAAAATCCAAGATGGCAACTCTTCAATAGAGCACGTCTCCGCAAAGCCTGTTCACATCTTTTTTGCCTGGGAAACATACCATAGTTGCAACACCACAATATATTAAAGGTTGGAAAATTAATCCCAAGCTTAGAGACTGGAGCAAGTTACAAACTCATACTGGTCTGGGCCTATGATTGATGGCACTTCAAGCAAGAACTCTAGGGTAAAGCCAGGTTTACCTCCTATACTCCTGTTGGTAAATGAAGGACTCCAGCTATGAAGCACCGTAGCTAAGCAGTAGTCTCAAAGAAGTGAATTCCCCTTAAGTGTGGCCTTGACCTAAAGCCATACATCTGCAGTAAAACCTAGAAGAACAAGAGTACCCGGAGAGACTCATTCATGTTTTGAGTTTCAAGAGCTCAGACATCCTGGGAGTATTGATTTAGTTGGGGATTGGTCCTGCTCTGAGCAGGGGGTTGGACTAGATGACCTCCTGAGGTCCCTTCCAACCCTGATATTCTATGATTCTATGAGAAGCCAACATAGTCACTGGCTATCACCCACCGTCTATGTATGTGTGCAAATGCAGTGACCAAGAAGTCACATAAAAGGGGTAAAGGGAACCAGCCAGGCCAAGGTAAATTGCACCTTCAGTTTATTCAGAGGATACACAGGTGCCTGAAATGTGTTACTTTATGCTTAATTGGGTTTTAGAGCAACCCACAAAAAATCTTTTTAAAGTCGCCCTCCTGACAGCACATGGCTGGTAGGTTTGTTGCCTCTGGAAACAATATTTGTGTAGCTGTAGTCAGTTGCATAGGTACTCGTGGAGCTTGGTTCTACAGATTATAAAAATTGCAAAACTGTCATAGTAAATAAGCAAATATAAGTAACAGGGGGTAGCCGTGTTAGTCTGTACCTACAAAAACAAGGAGTCTGGTGGCACCTTAAAGACTAACAGATTTATTTGGGCATAAGCTTTCGTGGGTAAAAACCTCACTTCTTCAGATGCATCCAGACTCCTTGTTGTTTAAGCAAATATAAGGTGATCCAAAGACGTATTTAATACTAGATTGGTGCAGTAATCTCCTGTCTAGGCAGCGTGTGTGCTGTCACTTGCACTTGTTAAGTATCAGCAGAGACTCAAGGTTTAACTGATGCCTGCAATTTGTTTCATCCGCCTGTCTCAGCTGTAAAGACTGTAAACTTTGAGGCAAGAACTGTGTTTACACAGCAACTAGCACAATATTAATGACTGTATTATTGAGCACTTAGGGGCCCAGTCATGGAGCACCGGTGGTAGGCGCTGTCCAGACACAATGGGGTCTCAGTTGGGGGCGGGGGCTCTAGGAACTAGTGTAATAGAAATAAAGAATAGTGACCATAAAAAGCTGCATGAATGTGGTGTCTGGGCTTACTGTGTATTAGCTTCTCACCCCATATTTATCAGCAGGGGAGGAGGTGTGGGGAATAGGCCTTTATAAACAAAATCAGGAACAATCCCTTTTGAGTCTGAGATTCAGAGAAACAAAGGAGTCTAGTAACAAACCCAGAATCAGTGACCTCTTGTTTTGCATATTGATCACCTAGATGTAAACCACATCTCTCGATTGCCAGCTACAGTGAATATCCAGGATGTAGCAGCAGATCAGTGGTTACACACACACACACACACACACACACACACACACACCCTTTTTCCTCTCAGTGATTTGCTGTTCTAAAGGTCATACACCTATGTTCACCTCTGGCCCTCCGGATAACCTGATGAGTTATGTTTTTGTAGTTCTGGAGATGCAACTACTCGCCTGACTTCAATTGTACATGATTAGAAATCAGGAGAAAGCCCCAAATGCCCTGACACTTTGATTAGTCATGCTCCCTTGTTCTGCAGTAAAAACCCTACTGGCCGGGTTACTTCCTAAGAGGTGGTTCACGTAATAATGCGGGTCTGATGGAGATCCAGTCCAAACTCCAGCTAGCCGGTTCACATCTGAAGGGTTATCACAAACGACCTATTCCCACATGTCATGCGTTAGGGAGAAACACCTGTGTCTGGCTGAATTTAACCTCTGGAGTATTTTGATGCCAAAAGCACATTTGACACTAACTTACAAAATTTTTCATCCCCTTGCCACATCCACCCATTGTTAACTCAGAAGGCACAAGAGAATTTATGTTGCTATGAAACAGGCCTTTTGATAGGTGTGAATGAGTTATTTCTAAACTTAGAAATGAATAGGTAACATCTACATGCCCGATCAAAGAATTGACACAGACAGTGGGATTTGTCATAAATTATGAATTAAGGGGCACTGGAATAGAAGAGGGTTAAATTTAGTTGCCACTCACTTTTTAATCTGGGATACAAGAAAGATTTTGATACAGAAAGATGAAGGGCAAAATGTCCAGAAGTATTTGAGATCTTGGTGCCACAATCCCATTACTTTCAAGGGGATTGAACTTCCATTGTCTAAGTCCTTCAGGCTCTGCTGAAAATAAATGTTCCCCAAAGGTTGCACATGCATCCTTAGACGATTATTATGGTCATGTCCCCTGCCTTGACAGAAGACATTCTTTTCCCATGCCATCTTGTCGACACACCCAGTCTCTGTGGCACTGACTACGCTAGGAAAATTAGGATCTGTAATTTGTGCTCCTCAGTGGAATAGGACATGTAGACAAGGCTGTCGAGAGTGGGGAAAAGTGGGGGACAATTGTACTGGGCTCAAGGCCCCCGCCCCACAAAAAATATCTACAGCAAGTGAAATGTAGCAAACATAACATACCAGGGATGCAAATTTCTCTCAGAAGGTTTGCACATAGGAAGATTCTGGCATTAAATCCATGTCCCCTAATCTTCCTCAGAAGAAAAGATATGGTAGTAAAAGCCCCTGAATCTACACACCAGCCTGCATCTTTGACACACCCAGCAAAGCTGTATCGGGGTGAGTTGTGGGTGTTAACTGTGCAGACATAGGCTTTGTAACCCAGATCTAACCCAGATCTGTAAGACCGACAGTATTTCAGTGCATAGAAACTTTGGTTTCCATCCTCAAAGTCCCCACATTCAACACCTGGGAGCACCAGAGATTCCAATTCTACTTTGTGATATGGTTTTCCATGAATTAACCGAAAAAAATCAAGCTACATGGGAGAGGCAGCAGGAGGAGAAGAGATATCCCCAGTTTACAGCTATTCAGAGAACCCCAAAATATCCCTCCAAGTGACTTCATATCACCGAGTACTTACAAAAACCTATAATTAAGGTATTGATATCAATGGGCAGACATAGCTTCATTTAAATTCCGACCATACTTGTAATGTCTCAGAGTGCTGGCCACTCTAGGAAAGGGTTGTCCACAGACCTGGATGCTATGAAGTGCCAAATTCAGGCACATTATACATCTTTGGTTTAGATTAGTGGGGAAGAGCTGATCTGATGGTACTTTGGAGAACTGTAAAGAAGTGGGGGTGGGGAAGAGAAGCAAGCAGATGTGTAGTGACCCTATGTCACAGAGATAAATGTATCAAGCTTCAGAGGGGGAGGACAAAAGAAAGCGATTTGCATTCAGCAGGGAAGGCCAAACCCAGATATTCCAAAAAAATTATGCAGGAGGGACAATACAACCAGTGATTTTAAGGTCGCTCTCTTAACTGCCCTGTAAAAGGCTAGAGAACCCACACATGCAAAATAAACAGTACAGTGAGTCATTCGTACTAGTCTCAACATCAAATGGTTTAACATTTCAGCCACTCCACAACGCCCAGACCAGCCCCTCTGCAGCCAAGTGTCAGAACATGAATTGCTGCCTAGGAAACAAGAGGGATTCCCTGAGATCAAACGATGCGGAAGACATACAGCAGGCTCACCAGACGAAAAATTTTTTGTTCCTAAATAAAAGCAATTTAATCTCAGCCATCTGAGTGTATGATCTCTCCTATATCCCCATTAAAATGTGCAACAAGATCTTCTATTGCAGACATTTGGAGCACAGTCAGATGGGGCGGGGGGGGAATATCTCTTGTAGATTATGCTTTTGGAGCATACCATTTCAAGCAAGGCACAGACTCATCTTACTTGCCCTGAAGAATGCACTTATTAGCCCTTGAGAGACTCCACCTAAAGCAGCAGACAATGCACCATGTTAGACTTGCAGGAATTAAATTAAAACACCGTCAACATCACTATGTCCAAAGTCTCCCACCCACACTGGCATTCAGAGACCTTTGTGGGTTTAGCAAGGAGCAGGGAACCTTGGCTTGAATTATGCAAATATATAGTAGATATGCAAACAGAACAGCCGAAGGAGTGAGGAGTTGCATTAGCCCAAAATTGCTTACCTCTTTAAGCATCTTCTAGCATCTGTTTCCCAGCCCCAATATCTGCAGCAATTAATCTCTTCTCCCGTGCCTTCCCAATCAAAACAGCTAAGCAGATGAGCTTGTTCCATCCATCCTGCAAGCTCTCTGATTTGACAGGTCAGCTGTAGCAGCTTCCTTACCACGCCTGCCTGCTAGTCCACTTTCCAGCCAATATCACCCAGACAGAGTTGGAAGAGAATTAGGGCTCCCACACAGACCCGGGGGCAGGGGGAGAATGCAGAAGTGAGACTTCACTTCCTCCCACCCTCCTTACGTTGGTATCAAAATTAAATCCAGGGCTCACATGATGTTGGAGGGGAAAGTGTCTATTTGACAATACCTTTGATGACAAAAGACCAACTCCCTACGCATTCCGGGCACCCTCTAGTGGCATATGTCCCCAACAACAGGGCACTGACTGGGGACTGCAATCCTTTACCCGCTCTCTCTTGCTGCAGTGTGGAAAACATGATGCAATGAGGCATTTTTATTACCATGTTTTTTTATATAAATGCATCCATCCAATTAATCCCTCCGCCATAGATTAACGAAACCTATTGAGAGCCAGGAGTTTTGTCTACTATTTTTTTTTTAATTTTGGTGTAAAAAAACAGAAACCTATCACTGAGTTAGATTATGGAATAGTCTCCCAAGGGACATGATGTAAGAGCAGTAGGAATATCAGTTTATGGAACAATTCTGCTCTAGCAGAGGGAAGTTGCTGGGTGGGTGAGAATTATTCCATTAATTACACACCACAAGATTTCAAATGAGCACTGCCCTCTCTTATTTACACACACAAACACACACACACAATTTTTTTTTTAACTCGGCTATTGTTTTTCAACATCAAAGCCTCAAATCCTGCCCAAGATTTAGGAGGGGGGGGGGGGAGGGATAGCTCAGTGGTTTGAGCATTGGCCTGCTAAACCCAGGGTTGTGAGTTCAATCTTTGAGGGGGCCATTTAAGGAACTGGGGTAAAAATCTGTCTGGAGATTGGTCCTGCTTTGAGCAAGGGGTTGGACTAAATGATCTCCTGAGGTCCCTTCCAACCCTGATATTCTAGGATTCTATGATCAAGAAGAGAACGTGTACTCAGAAGACCTCGGAACCTGTACCATCTCTAGAGAAGTGCCGTTGGGAAACAATCATGGCAATAAGATCTTTTCCCTGAAGCCACACTCGCAAGTTGGCTGCACTGTTGCTGAGATGATGTCACTACGTAAAGCACACGAGAGGTGGCTAACACAAGTTGCACACCGGCTGGGAGCAGCAACGTATTGGCCATTAAGGTAGCAGAGAGCATCATGACCTTTGCTACAAGGCCATGTATTGCTGCTGATGAGTGAACCAGCTCCTTGCTGGATGGCCTGTTGCAGAAGATGCATAACCATGTGCACCTGAGGGCAGAAGTTATGGCTTGGAAGGACATACCCATATCACCATCAGGCTACAGCAACTCAGGGTAAGATACTATGGGGACATGTAGCAGTATAAAAGCTTAAGATAGACAGGAAGTTAAGTTAAGCCATAACCCTCCATGCAAGCCACCCTGGGCGATGAGCAAGTTCAGATCCAGCAGCCAAAGAGAGGATTTGGGCTTTGTGTCTAGTACAGTGAAAATGGCTGTTAATTCTGGATGGAGATGAAACCCTGTGGTGCATTTTACCTCTGGTGTTCTATGTACCTCCCAGGGAAGAGGTGGTCAGGGTTTTAGACTAGTTACTTCTATTTCCAAAGGGGAACTGAGCTACCATGGGTCGGACCAGCCATGCTCTCTCTAGAATTAATGGACATTTTGTCTGTATTAAAGGGGGGAGAGAGAATCAGGCCAGCAGAATTCATTTGTGTAGATGGTGCTTCTCCATTCTATTTAAGGTACTTATATTTCCCCCGTCACCATAGTATCTGAGCTCTGCCCCATCTTCAATGTATTTTTCCTCAACACTGCTGTGAGGTAGGGCAGTGCTATTATTCCCATTTTACAGATAGGTGACAAAGGCACACAGAGGCCAAGTGACTTGCCCAAGGTCACACACAAAGTCTGTGGCGGAGCAGGTAATTAAACCCACGTCTCCCAAGTCATAGGCTAGTGCCCCAACCATAGATTCCAAGGCCAGAAGGGACCGTTGTGATCGTCTAGTCTGACCTCCTGTATGACTCAGGCCAGCCCATAGAGCCTGCCCAAAATAATTCCTGTTAAAAATGTACACCCGGTTTCCACTTTAAATTTGCCTAGCTTCAACTTCCAGCCATTGGATCACTTTATAGCTGTCTGCTAGATCAGAGAGCCCATTTTCAAACATTTGCTCCCTAGGTGGCTACTTCTAAACTGTGATCAAGTCACCCCTTAACTTTCTCTTTGTTAAGCTCAATAAATGAAGCTCTGCACGTCTCTCACTATTAAACACGTTTGCTAGTCCTTTAATCATTCTTGTGATTCTGCTATGGACCCTCTTCCATTTAACAACATCCTTTTTGAACTGTGGGCACCGGAGCTGGACACAGTATCCAGCCGTGGTTATACCAGCGTCAAATAGAGGTAAAATAACCTCTCTAACCCGACTTGTGATTCCTGTTTATGCATCCAAAAACTGCATTAGCCCTTTTGACCACAGAATTGCACTGGGACTCATGTTCTGCTGATTATCTACCATGATCCCTAAATCTTTGTCAGAGTGACTGCTTCCCAGGATAGAGTCCTCCATGTAGTATGGCCTATGTTCTTTGTTCCGAGATGTATACATTTAGCCATATTAAAAACACATTGTTTGCAGCCAGTTTACCAGACAATCCAAATTGCTCAGTATCCGTGACCTGTCCTCTTCATTATTTACCACTCCCCCAATCTGTGTGTTATCTGCAAACTTGATCAGTGATTATAATTTCTTCCAGGTTATTAATAAAAGTGTTAAATAGCAAGAATCAATCCCTGTGGGAGCCCACTAGAAACGCACCTGCTCAGTGATGATTCGGCATTAACAATTACAGTGAGACCTCTCCGCCAATATTTAACACATGCCACGTTGATTTTATATCATTCTAGATTTTTTTTAAATAAAAAAACATAGAATCATTGAATATTAGGGTTGGAAGAGACCTCAGGAGTCCATCTAGTCCAACCCCCTGCTCAAAGCAAGACCAACCCCAACTAAATCATCCCAGCCAGGGCTTTGTCAAGCCGGGCCTTAAAAACATCTAAGGAAGGAGATTCTACCACTTCCCTAGGTAACCCATTCCAGTGCTTCATCACCCTCCTAGTGAAATAGTGTTTCCTAATATCCAACCTAGACCTCCCCCACTGCAACTTGAAACCATTACTCCTTGTTCTGTCATCTGCCACCACTAAGAACAGCCTAGCTCCATCCTCTTTGGAACCCCTGTTCAGGTAGTTGAAGGCTGCTATCAAATCCCCCTCACGCTTCTCTTCTGCAGACTAAATAAGCCCAGTTCCCTCAGCCTCTCCTCATAAATCATCTGTTAGTCTTAAAGGTGCCACAGGACTCTCTGTTGCTTTTTACAGATCCAGACTAACACGGCTACCCCTCTGATACGCATAAATCGTGTGCCCCAGCTTCCTAATAATTTTCGTTGCCCTCTGCTGGACTCTCTCCAATTTGTCCACATCTCTTCTGTAGTGGGGGGACGAAAACTGGACTCAATACTCCAGGTGTGGCCTCAGCAGTGACGAATAGAGGGGAATAATCACTTCCCTCGATCTGCTGGCAATGCTCTTTCTACAACATTTTACAGTACCAAGTCAATGCCTTACAGAAACTTAAGTACTACATCAACCGTATTACCTTTTTCAACTGAACTTGTTACCTCATCAGAAAAGGATTTCCCATAAGCCCATGTTAATTGGCATTAATTATATTCCCCTCCTTTAATTCTTTATTAATTGAGTCCTGTAGCAGCTGCTTCATCTTGCCAGGATCATCCTTCCTCTCTCCACTCTAGCTAATCTTCCTCTCCGTTCTAGTCAACCGTGACTCTGTTTCTTCACACTCTTCCTAAACGGTTGCGTAGTGTTTCTGTGCGCTGTTCAACAGCTGTCAAGCTCTAGCCCAGAAGTTGCTGGTGTGACTAAACACTTGCTGGGGGCTGCTGAAGAAGGCTTAAGTCAATCTACACAAAGCTCACGGTCTCAGAGCAATGCAAGTTCTCTTTGGTAGATCATTACCAAACAGCTCTTATTGATAAAATGCTTGGCGATGAAAGGTACTTGGCCCTTTTCTACTGCTCCCCATGATTGGGGCCGGGGGGGTATTCTCAGCTTTACAGAAGTTATAGTTACTTGCCCTAGCCTAATTCTGTCACTGGATCACTGTGGAGCAAGTCTACACTACAAGCTAGCGGTGTGATTCTCCTGCTTGTGTACATGACTAGCACAAGTATAAATAGCAGCGTAGCCATGGGTACTGGCAGCAGAGGCATTGCATTCAGGCATTCACTCAGCCCGGCTACGCTATGCTTCTGCAGCAGCTACCCTATTTATACTTGCACTAGCTGAATGCGAGCAGGGGAGTCACACCCCTAGCTAGGGTGACCAGACAGCAAGTGTGAAAAATCAGGACAGGGGGTGGGGGGTAATAGGAGCCTAAATAAGAAAAAGACTCAAAAATCAGGACTGTCCCTATAAAATCGGGACATCTGGTCACCCTACCCCTAGCCCACAGTGTAGACACAGCCTCAGCTTTTAGGAGCCCGAAGCTGCTGAGCTCCTGTTCTACCCACTACATTGTAGCAGAGGGGGGATTTTCAAAAGCGCTCAGCTTTGGCCTCACTCTTCTCACTTGGACGTCAAAGGTCGAGTTCCCATTGACTTCCATGCAAGCAGAGCTAGGCCAATGCTGAGAATGTTTCTCTTTGGGGGTAGGGATTGTGAGATAAGGTACAGCACCTAGCACCATGGGGCCTCTGTCCTATCAGGCCTCAGGATGGCCCTGGAGTACTAAGTAATATTCAGACTGCTTACTCACTTTACATACTACTAATCCTTAATATTTGTAAAAAAAAAAAAACACACCTTTGGAGATGTAAGATACTAATTAAGCCTTAACACCCCATAAGGGAGGAATTATCCACATTTTACAGATGTAGCAATGGAGATACAACTGATTAACGCATTTGTCCAAAGCTGCAGAAAGGTAATGTCAGACAGGGTTAGAACAAAGTCGCACAGGTCCCTCTTGTCCTCTGCTTTCTGTACCAGAACACGCCAGCAGTCAAATAGCTATTTATTCTTGCTGTCCCCCTTACAAGAGAGTTCTGCCTTTTGTTACCTCTTCAGACAGGCA